CCATAGGAATTTACACACTACACAAAAAAAATAATTAAAAAAAAACGTGATATTGGAGGCTGCTGTGTAAACATGAATCTAGCCATTCTCCATACCCATTTGTCCCGTGTCGGGTCGAGAGCCTATTCCAGAAGTTATGGGCAAAAGAGAGGTAATACCCCAGTAGGGAGTGCCTACCCAATTAAAAAAAAAAAAAAAAACATATTTTAAACATTAACCACCAGGATATCATACCAACTCATTTACTGACACGCCACCGGGGTACTGTACTGTCGCATTTACTGGAGACTGTGTGCGGCCAAAGCCTCTGTGCCTGTGATCAGAAGGTTGCTGGTTCCAGTCCCAGCCTTGGCAGAAAGACACACGCTCCTGGGCCCTTGAGCAAGGCCCTTAGCCCCCAGCTCCTGGGGCACTACATGCTGGCTGACCCTGCTGGTGTCCCCCAAGCTTGCTCACACCCTGATACATGTCTGAGTCTCTCCGAGAACAAGATGGGGGGGGGAGGGGGCGAAAGAATTTCCTTATGAGGATTAATAAAGTATCACTAGTCTATTCTACTGTAGACCATCACGGTACAGTACTAGCACATTTACTGACAGACCGCCGGGGTGCCAGGGTATCGGATCGCAGAGATATGAAGGACAATGAGAAATAACTGAGCTGATGGAAAAACAAAAGACAAAAAGCAGAGCAGCAGACTGAGGGGTGCCGCCATTTTTTTTTTACAGATCCAACGTAGTTTCACAGCAAGAGAATGTGGGTTAACAGTTAATAATAGAAGCCATCAAATCCTCTGAGCACTATTAGCCCATGATGGAAGACGGCAGCGACATAAGGACGGCCACCCAGCCCACATGGTCACGCGGGCAGCTCTCACAGTGACATGACATCACAAGGCCAGAAAGGGAGGTATGTTTCTGACCGTCCAGCTCAAACGAAATGAAAAGCACTCATCTACTGACCGCTGAATTATTAGCCAACAACCTGAGCGAATCTTAGCGATGTTCTGGGTCAAAGCAGTGGTATAGGGCCAGATCTGCACAACTAGCCAGACTGATGACAACACGTAACATCTGAATTATGAATAGATGGATGACAGTCTGAGCATAGCCACAGAAATACTACTTCTGTTTAATGTAACCTAAAGTCTCCCGTCACAGTCCGAAGACCTGGAAATCATCACAGGAAAAAAAAACAGACTGAATTTACCTCCACTGGCCAGACAACAGCATCACTGTAATTAGCAGAGGACAGGGCAAGAGAATCTGAGAGTGTTGCTGGCTTATAAATGCATAGCGCACAGCACAGACATCATCATCATCATCATCATCATCATCATCTCTGGCACTTGCTCCACTGTGTTCAGTCATAGTGAAGCCAGGAACACAAATTTGGTTAAATTTAACTTAATAGTTGAGGCTTAACAGATACAAAGCTATTCTTTCTTGAACTCCAAATATACACACAGCTACAAAACAGACCATAATTTTCTTAGAGAAAAGGGTTCTTAAATATCCCAAAGGATAAAGTGGTGTCAACAATGCACTGAATTTAACAGAATAAAGTATTAATGCAAGAACACCAGTGATTGGTGGCCCTTCTAGAAAGAACCTCCCCCCACACATTGAGCTGAAGCGTCTATTCATCATGGCACCGTATCCTCAACACGACGGCCACAGTCGGAGATGGATGGAGACAAATGAAGATGAAGTTTGTGATTCGACACACAAGCTGGACGCGCACTTTTTTAAGGGGGGAAAGGGGGATAGCAGCCTATTAAATCAGCCCCCGGCACTTCCATAAACTGGACAGACATTTTTCATTGTATCTCTGGAAGGGGGAGGGACACTCATCGTTAAAATAAGCAAATAAATTACAGAAATATCGCTTCAGAAAGAGCTAGGATACAAAGGAACGGTTCGCCCTGTTGTCAGAGCCAGCTGAAAATTACGATAACCTCACCCGCGTCAAGATCTCCCGCCACCAGGCGAAAAAAAAAAAACAAAAAGTCCTAAATAATTTATTGGCATGACGGCCTTGACGAACCACTACTGTCAGAGCGGTTTATCAACGGTTCTCTGAGATCGATACCCTGAGGAGAGGCACGGCTTTCCCCAAGTGTGCCGGCAGCTGAACCGTAGACGTTAGATGTTTCATGACAGTGTCCCCATTCAGCTGCCCCTAAAGATCTCAGCAGTCAACAGCAAGGCTGAGCAGTAAAGTTCCCGCTTTCTCTAGAAGAGCTGCGGAGTGATACCAACTAAGCAAGGTGTTCACAGGTCATATTGTCAATATGATGATCTGCATCTGGCCCACTTGAGCCCAAAGGCCTCGCATTAAGGATCAAACCTCATAACCTTCAGGAGTGGCCTGTGTGGACAATGGGAGTTCTCGCTGGAGACAGAGTAGTGGTTAGCATAGCATTTGCTGTGGACTTGGTCACATGAGTGAAAGCAACAATGCCCACACACACACACATACACACACACTAGAAGACTCTCCTGTATACATAAGCAACACACTTGAACTGCAAAGCTACTGAGAAACTCAATGACACATGCAACCACGCAAAAAAAAAAACAGCTGTGCTAGCAGACAAACCATCCTCTACTGAAAGCCTGTGTCCATCTTAGAGACCATCTTTGAAAAGCATATGGCCAAACATATATCCACCTAATCTGATGAATGCAGAGTCCTGCTTGAACATCTGACCCCCTGTGATGTCAGAGATCACAACACATTATCAATCCTCTATGTAACCAACACGAAACAATAAACAACTGGCTTGCAAGTATGCCCAGACTCCCTTCAAACAGCATAAAATTCAAGAGCCAATACCTTCTTGTCATAACATGGGGGTTCAGACGAGTTCTGGGTCAGAACTATGTTCCACAACTGCAGGAGTCACACATCAGTCACCACTGTTCCTGGTTCTCATAAGGAAACAGTCAGGAACCTCATGATAGCCTGCCCCGAGACACCTTCGGGGGGATGGATTGCACGTTCACCAGTTTCTACCACAATAAAGAAAGAAAACTGTGAGGTTTCCATCCATCAACCATATATACATCTACTGCTGACCCAGAAGAGCACAATTTTTTTTATGGGTTGCAAACCACCCCGGCCTGAAGCGGATCTCATCCATGGGGTCCGAGGGGGAGTTTTGAAGTATCAGAATTCTGACTGAAACATTCACTCAGTTCAGTCTTCACCCAAGCTGTCCACATCAGTATCTACATCAAGACTACCATAATATTACCTGTGAACTGCTGCTCATCTGTTGTCAGGTGGGGCTGAACAATTAAACTGCTGCTAAAGACTTGGGACTGTAGATGTTTGATATGTAGAGTGGGAGAAAGACAAAACAACAACAACAGCACCACAAGATAACCCTTGTATCCAGGACAAGATGTCAGTCTGGATTAAAAACGCATTTAATCAAGCAAAAAAAAAATCTTTAACAGACTGCAGCACAGGATGGTACTATCACTACACTGTTTTCATCCGACAGCCTCCTGGTCCAAAATATTTTATCCACTTATTCAGAATCATACACAAACGTACTATATGACTTCTAGACGAATTTACGGACAGACATTGCCGTTCCATCTTGATCCTAACCCGCAGGAATACAACCGCGAGCTTGAGCATGCAGACAGACCGCGAACGAATGAGATTAACCTGCGGATGCCGGTCTCCGATACACGCCTGTCCGCAGGGAGCTACCCACAGGGCGCCATGGATACGCAGATGCGGCACCGCACATTTCGCACACAAACGCTGCTGCTCCCTCTGCGCAGAGACACACCGTCACCGCGGGGATCCTGCCTTTATGGGGGGAGCAGTTCAGTACATATGAGCTGAAAGTTGCTCATATCTCTCACCCTTCGGTAAAATGGCCCGAACACTTAGGAGACAATCCTCCTAGCCACGTTTTAGAGTTACACACAGCCATTAAAACTGTAAACAAACAGCGTTTAAATCCACATAAACAACCGTCCATTAACAGACATCTTCCCCCAGTAAATCAATATTTGTGAAAAACAAGACTACCGATAAAGCTCTCGAGGATAAGCAATGTAACTGTTTTGGCTGAAGTTTGACTTCATCAATCTTTACTTAAAGCTATCGGGTGTCAAAACCAAAAATAAGACCAACAATATTTACAGAAGCTCTCTAAACTAAGACATTAAGTTACAATCCTTGTTGCAAAATAAATAAATATATATATTTTTTTTTACTGCGAACAAGTTATTCGGTTTAACAGAGTAAAGACTGTCGGGCCAAGTCAGTTCCCTAAAAGTCAATGCATACGCTGTATAGTTACCGATTAATTTCCACTTTAACGCAGCTCAAACTTAATCGCTCTGAAACAAAGCAGCAAATACATCACAACTACACAAATTAGATCAAACACATATACGGAAAATGGATTTTAAGAGCGGCCTGGAGGTATAAACGAACAAAGTGGAGAAGTTGCCAGGCGCTACTAAATACTTGTTCAGTCACCATACCCTCCAGGCAGCATATGGCCCTTTTTTTGGCCAGACCGTTAAAGCCGACAGATCGCAGTAAAGTGCATTAAAACAGCACTGCAGCACCGACCCCCACCCTCCTCGGAGCAACAGAGCTACAGACAGCGCCCCCCAACTCACGGTGTAATCAATCACAGCTGCAAAGAAGAAGAAGAAAAAAAGAAAAAACGGAAAGAAAGAGCGTAAAAGGCGCTCCGGTTTGACGGACATAAATATGCAGGAACATGGGGGACAGTCCCGTCAGAAAGACAAAGATACTTAAATCTAAAGCGAGCCAGTGAGGCCGGGCGCAAGCTGTCAAAAAACAAACCAATAAAATAAATAGCAACAAAAAACTTAAAGACTAGGGGAGTAATGATCCGGATGAGTAGGTCCGTAACTAACTAGGCGTAACTAACGGAGGGCAGTTTGCTCATTGCGGTGGACAAGATAATAAGGAAAATATGGGTGCTGAGAAAAACTTACGTGAAAACGAAGAATAAAGTGGTAGATCCAACCAGAAGAGTGGCGGCAGTGGATACCGGGATATATTTGGTGGGTTTAAACCTCTTTCCAGCGCTGTTGGGCATTCTGTAATTTCCACATTCCTTGCTTATTTAATCCGATGGGGTGGCACTGCTGGACCGGCATGGACAGATACGAGGACCCGATGCGATTTTCCCGCACTGCAACCCCCGCTGCCGCCGACACGAAGCACAGATCTGGCCGAAGAGAGAGCGCTGAGCGCTGGAGGCGCCTGGAAATCCCACCCGAGCGAGCGGCCCGGCCCGCTGCTGAGATCACTGCCCACTTTTAAAGGTGGAGCCGTTTGCGCAAAGCCGGAGAGCCGCCCTGGGCTGTTCGCGCAGTCCCTCTGCACAGCCAGCGACGCGCTGCTCCCGGCGTCCAGAAACACCGCCTCCGCCACCACCCCCCTGTGTCTATATGCCGAGCAGCGCTGAGATCCCTTAAAATACGCGATGCGCTACAGAGTTGCCATTTGGACTGAGAGGGGGCCACACACGTCACCTATAGGTTGAAGCAATGCACAGTGCAAAATTGCATCTCATTCTTCCTTACGGTTTTTATAATATTGTCTATTTTCGCCGCGTAACATATTTTCTCTGCATCGTAGATGTGGAACATGATACCTGAAGGTCCATTTAGTTGCTTAATCTTACTTAACGTGTTTTCTGATGTCTTCTTCAAAAGAATTTTACCGAAAATGCGTGTAGAACAGAGGCAACAAGAAATACTACTAATACAACTAACCTACTCACTTCAGACTACTGACTTTCAGGTCATTTGAAATTATTACAGTCCACTACAGTATTTCTGCCTATCCATTTTATAATAAACCACACAGAAAGGTGTAAGGTATTTATTAATTTATTTGTATTTTTGCTAATAAAAACCCAAAATGAAATGATTGCATTTATTGGATAGCATATGCCCCCTGGTGGTAATATCTGAATTACTTTTATTCTGAACTGATACCAGACACATACTGTATATATGTCCAGCCATTATCCAGCCGTGTCCTGGTCGTATGAGTACGAAACCGTGAAAATAATTTTATTATTTGAAATAACTCACATTGAAATATTTTACCAATAAAATATGTATTATCACTATTATGGTTGTTGCTGTTATTGCTGTTATTGTCAATACACGTAGTCATTTTCATTCTCTTAAACAGTATGTGGCTAACTCTACTAAGCCACATCATTAATATGGTTTCATTCACCCATCGTCCAAATGCAATAATATTAATAATAGTAACAATAATAATCATTATTATTAGTATACATTCGCTAGCACATTATTCGAAATAGAATTATAATTCTTGAAATCACGAATTGGCTTTTGTACTGTAGTTGTGTTTACGGGGCTGTTTTCCTTGGTTTATGGTGCCGACCGCACAATTAAGCGCCCAGATCAGTGAACTGTGCATAATCGTCCGTTGTAAATAAAGAATCGCCAAATACTTCGTTGCGCTTGTCCAAACGGGATGCCGTAGTTAGCGGACCGCGGGGCGTGGCTGAACGCCGCGTGTTTCCGGCGGTATCGGCGGAGAGCCTACAGACGCGGAGTGATGTCTTTCGGAAGGGCAGCTAAATATCTCTGTGGTTTCGCGGGTGGGGCGGTGGTGTTGGCGGCGGCTGGGACTGCTGCCCTGAACGCCGAGGAGTTACTCGGACGCGCAGGAGACGCCGCGCCAGGCCGACCGTCTTGGAGGTGGAAGGGAATCCCGGTGCTCCGAGCTGCGCAGCCGGTGCCAGCATGGGCACCGGCGAGCAGCGGCTGGGACGACAACTGGGACAAGTACGACACCGTTGTCTTTTGTTCATGTGATATGCTGGATGAGACAAGTGTGGGAAGATAGGCTGCACTCGCCGTGCTCGTATAAAACTATGTATATATTTATTAACATTGCGTGCTGTGAGCTCGTAACTAAATTGAATGAATTAATTGCACACGCGAGTATAAAGAAAGAAAATGTGACACCGGGGCTCTTCACGCAACATTGATCCAATAGAATACAACAGAAAAGAAAGCCATTTTGTCATTGTACAGAAAGAAATTCAATACACAGCTCCTTGATCGATACTCCCGAAAGAAAAAAAATAGCAGACATTACTGTCTGTTTACTCCTTAAATCTTGAATGTTATCTGTTAAATTTCAGTGTTCATTTACTTAATTTCTTCGTATTTAACTTGTTTGGTTTTGTCTCAGGCGTGATCTAGGGTCACAGATTACATCTAAGAAGACAGAGAATAACAGCGAGGAAACCAGCACAGAGGTTGACAGCGGCAAGCCGAAAGCTACACGTCACATCTTTCTGATAAGGCACTCCCAGTACAACCTGAATGGGAGCGAAGATAAGGACCGGGTCCTCACTCCGCTAGGTAAGCTGTGCTGGATGAACACAACCCAAGTACCTTGGGCTTTTTGCCAAGAGAACCTGCCAGTGGACAGGTTCAGGACTCTGCTCACTTTATGCGGACCTGGTAATCTCTAGTTTGACTTCCATTCCCCCGAATCAAGTTACCTAGTAGTGATTTTTTAAATATTTCGCATTTAATAAGAAAAATAATGGCAAAATGAGCGCTGTGAAAATTGAGATGTGATGGCTCTTGTCTTGTGCAGGCCGGGAGCAGGCAGAGCTGACAGGCCAGAGGCTGGCCACCCTGGGGCTCAAATACAACATCCTGATACACTCCAGCATGGCCCGTGCTACAGAGACTGCCCACATCATCAGCAAGTATCTCCCAGGTGTGAGATGGTGCCCCCACCCCCCCACCCTGGTATAACAGCACAGTTGCAGTGACCGTGCTTGTAAAGTAAACTCCTCCAGCCAGTCTCTAAATGCCCGGACATCACCCACAGTCAGACATTTACCTCTGCAGATTGTTTACTAGCTTCATTTCAAAACAATAATTACTTGTTTTGTTATTCTGTTATTTTTGGTCTGTAGAATTTCACACGGACTATTAGATGTTTTAAATTGCAGTTTTTCACGATGGACTATACCTCTGGGTTCAGCAGAGCACTGATATTGACTTTGGTGATGTGCTAATCAGTGACTTTGTCCATGTATTCATTCCATCATCCATTCCTTAACTAAAAGATTAACAAGGCCAAACATGTTATACTGCTGGTTGATAAGTCCTAACCAGTGTGCCATTTGTTGCTCCAGGGGTAGAGCTGGTGAGCTGTGACCTGCTGAGGGAAGGGGCCCCGATTGAACCTGTACCTGCGATCTCCCACTGGAAGCCTGACGCAGCGGTGAGCCTGGTTTCTGCCTTGTGTGTGACTGCCACCTACAGGGCTGGGAGGCTACTGCATGATGGGAGCCAAAAATGAGCAGGTTGTGTGTGGATCACTTACCTTGGGGGGGGGGGGCTGCCTGGAACAGGCTGCAGTCCCCTGAAAATGCCCTGAAGCTGGGATCCTCAGGCATGAAGCACGCCGGGCTGTCGGGTGATGCCGGTACTAAAATGTCTGTCCTTGGGGGCTCCGCCTCCTGTCCTTAGCAGTATCATGAAGACGGGGCACGGATCGAGGCCGCCTTCCGGCGCTACATCCACCGGGCGGATGCCAAGCAGAAGGAGGACAGCTACGAGATCATCGTCTGCCATGCCAACGTCATCCGCTACTTCGTGTGCAGGTGGCTATGTGCAGCATGTCTCCTAATCCCCTAATCATTTTTACTCAGCTCCATGTACCGGTGTTGAGAACCTCTGGATGTGTCCGTTTGCCTGATCTCGCAGGGCCCTGCAGTTCCCCCCCGAGGGCTGGTTGCGCATGGGCCTGAACAACGGCAGCATCACCTGGCTCACGGTGCGGCCCAACGGGCGGGTGGCACTACGTGCACTGGGGGACTCTGGCTTCATGCCGCCAGACAAAGTCACGCGCACCTAAGGCCCAATCGGACCCTTTGTCACCTCACCCGGGGAGGGCGGTGTCTCCACCCAGTTCCCGATGCCTGCTTGGTCTTTTCTGGCTCTTTACTGATGAAGGGATTAAGTCACCACGCATGGTATTTCAGTGTCTTACCAGCCGCTAATGTGTGTACGCAGCACCGGCAGCACAGCGCCCCCTTCTGGCACGTCTCCAAGTGTCTTGGGAATTTTGTCATATCATTTAACTGCTTGTGCAAGAAAAACTTGTGGTCCTTTCTCTGCAATTTGTCATACAGAGGAAACCAAAAAGTGACATTTGATTGTAGTCCTTACCTACAGGAGGGGGTGGGGCAGCAGACAATACAGCGACTATTTTTGAACCTGTTTGTGGCCGTTTCCTCTGAGTGCCAGTTTTACAGGCCCTTTGTGCTAAACGCTTTTCTATTTTGTGTGATGCCATACATGTGGACGTTGTGATTGCACAATAAAGACTGACGACTCATCCACTGCGTTTGTGGTTTCTTTTATGATGAAACTGCATGCCATCATAGGAATTTCCTCGATGTTTAATGCACCACAGATTCAAAGTGATCCACTTTAATTTCCTGGGTGTTTCTTATTATGCATACTTGACCATACTTGTGTGCCTGTTTGACATCATCTTCCATTGCCGAAGACCAGTTCCAGTAATAAGAACACAAGTACGGTAAAAATCCCTGGATGTCGTTCTTGCCCTGCCTCAAATATCAAGGATGCGTCACTTGCACCCAAACAAGAACAATCCCATGATTCATTGTATCCGAAGTTCATTCTTGGGAGGCAAGTTAGCAAATACGTTCTGGCCAAGAGAACAACCTTTGAGATCTTTGCATTCTTGGCATTAAAAAACACCCCCTGTGATGCAACAGTATTGAACGCTACATTACAAATGGACCTGTTTGCCCAAATCAAGGCTGACTTGGTCATACATGTAGGTATGGAGGCAGGGAGTGTATAATGTGTGAAGTTCTGCAGGTCAGAAAGGAACAGCTGGTCTGAACAGTGCAGGAAATGAAGAATGAAACCGCATCATCACATACATGATAAATTCACCTTTCCTTGGTCTAGAATTCAGCAAATGGGATCATTGCACAAGATCCTCACTGTCAGCTCAGGCTCTTAGTTTGACAAGGACCACATGGCTTCCTATCAGCTGCCAAAGACGACAGGAGATTTCAGACTCCACATGTGGTGACGGACACCAAGACACAACCGTGAAAGAAGAGACTACGTGGCCTCCTTGTTAAACTGTTAGATTTACAGTCCTTTATTATTATTTTAACATTTACTGTCCAGTGGCTGTTTTCATATTTGGATAATGAAACCTTCAGACACAGTCCTAAAGCTGTCACATTCATTCAGGCAGGCCTCTGATCTCACACTGAGAACAAGGTGCTGTCATCTGGCAGGTTTTTTTCCACAGAACACTTCCAAACGTCCGTTTGGGTCTCCAAGGTGGAGAGTCATTTGGCAAAGTGTCACAGCTGAATTCAGGAAACCAAAAGGGGCAAAAGCAGATATAGTTATCTACAAACAAAAATACTTATTAAAGAAATCTTAAAATACGGCATGGAAGAACCAAAACACACCACAGTATTTTCCTTTTTTGTGTAAAGACCCGTCAAAGTCAGTCATTTAATGTCTAAATATCCCACAGAGGAAACAGAAAGGGTTTGTAGCAGGAGAGGACCAGAGATCGGTTCCCCATTTCAGAGAATTAAGGCAACTGCTAAACTGAAAGGAAATACAACAGTAACCAAAAACAGGAACAACCTGGCAGTCTGCTAGCACGTATGCTAACGTTGTTTTGTGCTACCCCAAGACGTCAAGAAAACCATAATAAAAAGATTAACTTTTAAACATTCATTTTCTATTCATTCATACACTGTAGGATTATTTTCGTGGGGATTAACGAGTACCATATTTAGGGTCAGAGTGTCTGACAACAGAGATCCGATTAAGAAGTTGCATCTCCCTAAGATGACGTGAGTAACATACGGTTCTGTAACCTAAACCTGGGCCTGCAAAGGCGCCCCGCCGGGAATCTGGCTGGTCAGGACGGGTCCCAGGATCATGGCCGATCCTCGACGCTTGGTGCTGAAGGATGGGCACGTTACCAAATGGGTGAGAGGGAAGTGTCGTGTACCATGTGCATATTCTGGGGAGGGTGCCGCGTCACAACGCCGGTTCACCAAAGTATTTGTGGCGGACGCGCTGGATGTAGCCGGTGGGGCTATGCCGACTCGGGCTGGCCCAATCCGGAGAGGCAGCGTGTCGGGCTGGGCTGGACCTCCCGGGCGTGGACAGGAAGCTGGCGCTGGGAGAGCCGGGCGTGCTGGTCTGCAGCCTGAGGCGGCTTTTGTCCACCGTCGGACTCGGCCAGCTGGGGAGAGTGACATGGTACCAGTTACCGATGCTGAACAACGGGAGAACAAAGGCTTCACTTCTCAAGGAAAGAGCCTTACAGCTTACAGCTGGCTGAAGGGATCCACCCACCAATAAAATGACCAGGCTGGTTTCCCAGCAACCCCGTCCACCATAGGTCTGGGGACCTCGGTTCCCCCGGCATTAACATCCACCACACCCACCTCTGCATCTCAGAATCCGAGAAGCTCTGGAGCATGTTCCTCCACTTGTGCACACTCGGGTATTTCTGTGCGTCGATGTCCCTATCCCCGATGGCCAGCAGCACCTCTCTGTCCAGCTTGGTTGGCGACTCCCTGGCAAACACAAGGAGAGCCGGGTGAGCTCGGTCAGAAACGTCAGACGCGGAACGCGAGACTCTGAATGGTCTCTGTGAGATGCTCAGCGGACGACACCCTGCTCTGTTTTCCAAGCACTCACCCCTCGATGAAGAGCGCCTTTTTCGCTTGGGCCGGTGTCCGTGACATGTGCGAGCTCTCCAGAGATTTGTATGTAGAACCTGAGCTACTCAGGTCCCTGCTCCCATGGTCCCAGGACCGGGAGCGGGCACAGATGGGCCTCTCGGAGCCGGCACTGCCTGTCCTTTGGCTCGCGGCCTCCACGCTCTCCTCGGGAGTGAAGTACTCCTCCGAGCTGCTGAGGGAGCGATCGATCCCATCCACGTCGTCCCTCCCTCCCAACCTAGGGGCTGCTGGCTCCTCTTTGTCTGAGAGCACCAAGCGGGTAAGGCTGTGGAACACATCCGTGGAGCCTGAGTCCTGGGCCTCCCTGCGCCAGGCACCTGCCCCGCAGCGCCACCTCTCAGCGGGTCGGCTCTCCGCCGCGTCCTGCAGGGACATCCTCTCAAATTCCACCATCAGGTCGGATATGGGCGACAGCAAGCTGGGGGAGGCCCCCCCGCGGCCGATCCGTTCCCCGTTCTGGGTCCTCTCGCCTGACAGAGGGGAGCACAGGCCGTTCTTGTCGGCAGATGGGAGGCCCTTTTCAGAGAGCAAGCAGTCCTGCTCCGCGGCCATCTCGATGAGGTCGGCGCTGCGTGACACGGGCAGGATGTGGAACTCCAGACCGCCCGACGCCCCCTTCAGGCTGTCCTTGCCACACACCGCTGTAATGCTGGTCAGCGCTGCATTCTGCCGGTTCTTGATCTCCTCCAAACTGATGTCGTCTCCCTCGTCCAGGAACGCCCCCACGGAAATAGAGTTGCAGAACTTCTTGGGCTTGCCTGCAGATGGAAATGGCACTTCAAAAACAGCCAATCAGAAGCAATTCTCTTCACTCAAGGGGCATGTCACATAAAAGAGCCCCTGGAAATGGCTGCAGAGCTTACCTGGTGAAGGGGTTTTGAACCGATTGCTGGTCTCATTTTCTCCGGCGTCCTCTTTTTGGCTGAGGTGCTCCTCCAGCTTCCGGAGGCCATCTGCTGTGGATAGGTCCACAAAGCCGCCCAGAAACTCCCAGTACTCTGCCCAGGGGTGGCCCAGTTCATGGGCAAGGTCTCTGTACGAGAGGGGTAGGGAGACCATCATTACCTGGCTTGGCCGTACAGGCAGGCCAATCAGGAGTCAGTCAGTCCTCAACAGACCTGCCTACTCTCTCCGCCCCTCGGTCTGGGTCAGACTTCCGGATATTGTGAAAATACTTCGCCCGGTCTCTAGGTGGCGTCTTCCATACTCTGCGGAACTCATCTGCCTGCAAGGGAAACACACCTGCAATGTCAATCCTGATGTTTTTTGCCATTTCTAATATAAATGATCTAATAACAAAACATTGGAGTAAGAGCTCCTGGTGCACAGTCTGACCTCACACACGCGACTCAAGTGCACTGATCCCATGTTTTGCTTGAGTGTAATTTTCCCCACATGCTTGTTTGTTTTCTCACAAAAACGGAGGATTCGAAATGGACCACAAGCACTGCCTCAACATGATTACTTTTAGGTTTACAGACGCTCCCCAGCTTGTGATGGTCCATGTTACGATATTTCGAATTTATGATGGGTAGATGTTCTTCGCTTTCAGTATTTCATTCAATAAATGAAATATTCCACATTTTATTATAAAATAGGCTTTAAATTAATGAGTTTGCCCAACTATAGGTACGGGTTATAAGCATGTTTAGGCTATGATGTTAGGTTAGGTGTGTTGTACTAAAATGCATTTTTGCCTTACGATATTTCTGCCTTTTAAAAGGTTTATCAGAACGTAACCCCATCATAACCTGGGGAGACGCTGCATTTATTTAGCAGGCCCCTTTGGCAAAAAACAACATCCAGTTAAGAAAGCAGTGTCTGCCAGTCCCTGGAGCAACTGGGATTACAGGCCTCGCTCAAGGGTCCAATGGTGACATCACTGTGCCAGTCACGGGATTTAAAACAGCGACCTTCTGATCAAACTGCACAGCCGCACACTGCCCCACCCAGTCTGGTTTTGGGGGGTGTTTTCTCAGTGATACGTAGCCTTCTTAAAAGTCAACAAGCTGCCGTTTAGAACTGTATAAAAATGATTATAAGACTAAAATTAATGAATTATCTACAGCTCTTTGATAGGGCTTAAACAGTGCTTAATGAGACATTGTAAACCATACCTTAGATGGACTAAGTGGGCCGGCAAAAGCCCTCACTGCCATTACTGGGTCTTTGGGGCTTCCTGGCAGCTTGGCGATTAGCGAATGAGGAACACCTTCTGATGGCTCAGGTGACCAGGGACCACCAATAACAGGCTGCAAAGAATTGTCTGTGGCCCTCAGCAGTGGGACGAAACAGCGGTCTGTGGTAGAGGAAAAAAAATGATGGGATGAGTGAAACGGGAGAGGGGAAAAAACACAGACACACAGACACACTCTGCCTTAAAGCCTGGTGCCTACCTTCTAAATAGTCACTGATCTTCTGCATAATCTCCTCCTGGTTTTTATGTTTTCTTTCACAAATAACCTGCCGAAGAAAAGTGGGCTGAAACTACTGGACACCGCAAGGGCATAGCACATGTCCACACACTCGCCAGCGGCTGCGGTGACTTACCTCGCAAGGTTTCTTGTCGTACTTGTTCTTGCAGTTTTTGTCCGTGACTGGATGCGAGCACAAGACGTTCACCACCTCAGGGCAGCCAAACTTACAGGCGAAGTGCAGCGGGGTTTCGAAACCCTGTGAAGGCATAGAGGGGAGCCAGGAGTCACCCATAGGGGCTGGCACAAAGCGATTACTCATCGCCTTGCCCGTGGTGTCGGGGTACAGTATGGGTGAGTACTCACCACCTTGTTGGGGGTGTTGAGGCACAGTACAAGTGAGTACTCACCACCTTGTCTGGGGTGTTGAGGTACAGTACGGGTGAGTACTCACCGCCTTGTCTGGGGTGTTGAGGTATAGATCCACGATGTAGCGGATTCGTTTCTGCAGCATGGCCTCCTGGTCGTCAGGGTACATTAGTCGCATGAAGTCTGGGTTCTCCAGCGTGTCCAGTAGGAGCTGGGCGATGCCGGGCTGGTTCTCCTTGGCCGCCACATGCATGACATTGTAGCGACAACCCTCCTGAAACAGCCACAGTAGGAGACACTGGGGGTGGAATCACTGACAGACACAGAAATACTACCCCACCCTGTACACCGTGTTCAGCAAACAAACAGCACCGGCCAGCAGGCCCCAGTACCTGCACCACAGTGGGGTTGTCCCCGGAGCCGATGAGATAGCGCGGGTTGCTCCACACCAGCTCGGAGAAGGCCGCCTGGTCCCCCTTCTCCACAGCCTTGCGTAGCTTGGCCGTCAGGTCCTGTGTACGCGGGCTCTTGAAGCTGTTAGCTCGCTCCCTGTTGATAGTCTCTGCCTCCAGGGCTGATGGGCCATCTTGGGGGGGGGGGGGGGGGTTTAAAAAGGAGGGAGATTCAGATCACAACACAGAACACAAACAGGCCCGCTGTGAGCTTGTCTGATAAATGCTAAAAGGTGTGATGGATGTATCAATATGAGATTAATTATTAGTAGAAAGAATAAAAAGCACTGATAGTTTCAACTGTACTTTTCATGTCTTCTCCAAAATTTGGCAGCTTCTATGGTAATAAAAGCCGCAGTAACAAAAGAGAAATATCCTCATTTCAACAATGTAATGCAGAGGAGAGAATGAGCAGCGAGGGACTAATTGAAAGATACGCAAGCATGTGGTGGATGGAGACCTCTGTTCGGGAGACCAACCTCTGTAGAAGATGAGGCCTGGCTTCCCTGGGGAGACACAGGGGGTGAACTTGCTGGGGGATGGGCAGTAATCGCAGATGCCCTTGGCAAACTTTTCTGCATCCTCTCGGTTGGAGAATGGCTTGAATCGAGAGCCTTTCATCGTCTTCACAGCCTGCATAGCTTCCTTCTTGTCTGTGTAGACATGGACCCTGTCTGTGCAGGGAAAGACGTAATTTTCACAGATTAGACGTAAGAAGAGGGACAAGGTGTAATGCCATCACTGCGTACAGGTAATAGACAGGCTGTTCATTTGTAATATTTGTCTCAATGGTACAAAAGTGGAGCCCTTGCAAGACTGGAACTTCGCTTAGTAAACCTGTGTCACACGGTATCGGTTTCATCCCTTCCTTTGCCGGCTTACTTTTTTCCACAGCACAGTCACACACTGCCGAGCAGCGACTGCACACCGTGACATGCGAGGTTTTGCGTGCCTCTGTGAGGCAGAGGACTCCAACAGCTCCCAGTGCCCAAACCCTTACGGCATCCTCACCACTTCTGGCCAGCACGTCCTCCGTTAATGGACACACGCCATAGTAGACCGCTGGGGATGTCTGAGGGGTCTTGGGAGGGTCCTGTCCTTCGGCCTGGGAGCTCATGTCCTCCACCTGCATGCTGCATGATACCTCAGGCTTCTCCAAGAGCGCCTCCTCCTCAGGTGGGTTGAGTCCCAGATCGTAGCCAAAGTCCCCCCCTCGGCTGACCTCCTGGGAGTCCTGAGCCGATCCTGTGGACGAGGTCGAAGTACTGGACGCATTGGTGGCCCCCCCCCCTCCGTCTCGCTCCGATGTCCCACCACTGTTTCCCAGGATGGCCCGGGCCAGTCGCCTCTCGAAGGTGGCCCTAGTGGTGGCCGTTATGGGGCCGCACATGAGGCCGGCCCCGATGATCTCCTCACGCAGCTGGTCTGCGCTCAGCTCCCGAAGCCTGCTCAGAATGGCCTCCATCCTTCAGCTACCTGGGGAAAGGAGCGCAGCACTGTCAGGGCGTCATCTGGGCGAGCTGTGCGCCTTCATGTCCCGCAGGCACCTGCTGGCAGCATGATTAAAATGCTACACACTTTAGCACCCCCATGAGCTGGTGTTAGCATGAACCATGCAAGAGCCATGAGAAATAACTCCAGCGGACGGCAGGTTTTCTGTGACAGGTGGACTACCCTCTGTCACAAGCCAGTGAGAAAACAAAAATCACTGAAGGTTAACTATTCATGCTTCAACTCCAGAAAATTTGATTATATTTTAATACATTAATACATTTAAATAAACCCTCCTTTATATAATCTTATAATTGGCTATTTATCAAAAGCATGTTTTATAAAGCACATGCATGCAACAAAACATAATGTGTGGATAAATAAGGTGTCGAATTAATCGTTATGTAAGAAACACGATCTACCTATGACTCTGCAATAGTTACATTTAAAAAAAAAAACTCGCTTACTGCTTAAAGTAAAGGCAGTTTTCAACGCACCACGGATATATTTATCAAATCGATTTACTTGCAATTATAGCAAGCAAGTATTTTTGGTAGACAAACGCCGCACGTATAATGGTGTAATCAAGTTTTTGTGGGTTAGCTCTATTTTTCACCTCCGCTCATCTGAAAAGGTCAAGTTTTACTGTCTGTATATCTTCGCGTTTAAGCCGAAAAACAGGCATGTTCACTCGTACTAAATTACTTATCTCCATCACATCACAGTACTGATGGTGTCCATATAAATAATATCCACGGACAACGTATGACATCGAATGACAGTAACCGCGTGTTCACACTTACCATCCATTATTCAACAAACAGTAATATTTTAGAAACAAAAATCTGGCCCGGTACTAATGTGATAATTTAACGGCAGTTTGCAAATGGGCTGCAGAGACAGACACAAAGCTAGGCACAGTCTGGAAGCGTCTCATTGTTTACATGGCACAGGGCGCATGCGCACTCCCGGTCCGGCAGCACGGGGACGCGCCGCAGAGAGCGGAAGGTACGCGTAGCCGGCCGCCCTGTTTTTTTTCCTTTTTTTTTTTTTAATTAAAAAAAAACAAAACATATATACCTAATGCAAGCCATGTGGACGGCCACAGTTATTCGTAAAACTTAGGAACTGCCAACTCATGGGACACCAAGCTACCGAGGCAACAGGGCGGAGCAAACCACTACGCATACACCCGACAAGAGCCGGCTCTTGTCGCGTAACTTTATCTGCATCGTTACACGCCTAATAAAGGAGTTTAAAATCCGCCAATAAATGAACTGTTTTCTTTAAAACCACGTCGTTCACCCTAGTATTGCCGCCTGTATCATTTAATGCCACTAAGCCGCCGGCATTCTTAACTAGCTAACGTATATGGAGGCTATTCAGTGTGCATCATAGACCATGCGTGGCTCAGCTACCAGCTAACCATCCGAAACATCCCTTATATTAATCAAAGCTAGACGATGTTATTTCTCTAGCCCCCCAATCGCACGATGAATCAACTCAGCCCGACAGACAGCAAGCGTGTATTAAAAATATCCTGCAGCAATGTGTTTTTTTTTTGACGTCAGACATTACCCAGTGCAAAATATATGACATGTTACCGATTAAAATATCTAATATTTTATTCAGCTCCCAGATCTAAGTTTCTATGTGACATAGACCGTCAGTGCCCACCTCCTTCTCTCCCCTTCTTCTCCTGTAGTCAACCGCGACGCTTTCAAAATGCTTTGAAGTAGGACCCCGCGGGTCTCCATACAAGTGCCTGAAGAAAACTCAGCGATTCTTCCGAAACACATTGCTATCGGGACCACACCTTCTCTGAAAAATCAACTAAAAGCGCCTTACGCTTTCGAAACACAACGCTGCATGATATGACTTTTCTTAATGCCAAAATATAACTCCAGGACTCTTCCGTAACAATTCTGTTGTAGGTTTCCGCGGTTACCTTGTAAGTGCCTGAATAAAACTCATGGTCACGCCTTTGGCTGTCGTATCAGTCACCACTTTTCTCATCTTATATGGGATAACGATGATTAAAAATTCTAATTGTTTATAAACGAGTGTATATACAGGTATTGACGTATTGCTTGCGTCCCCATGGTTATCGGGAAATACTTCTGTATGCTGGCACGTCCGTAAACATTCAGAATTATTACTGATACCCAGTCCTAGGCAAAAATACGATATATTACAGAAAACTTTGTTGAAGTTTGTGTTAGAACATGCGCTCATAGGGCTTAACTGTAATTGGACATGTACTTCTATATGAAATACTTAAAGTATTTTGGTTATTTCAAATAGTGATTCAAGAAACCAGCATGATTGTCAGATTTTTCAGATTACCGCTAGCAAAACATTATATTGCGGTCTCATGAAAGACCCGTAACATACTTAAAACTCATCTGCTGACATTACATACACCCTAGGCGTGTACATTTGTCTTTGGTTTCCTAAAAATGAAGTCTCCGGTTCTAACAGCATACCTTACACACAAATGGAATAACTTAAATTAATACGTCCGCCCGTCAGAATTGGCGGAACAACGTCAACCGCACGAAAACCGGTTGTAACCTTCCTCAACACTAACTTTTTTGTATGGGATACCCTCCCTCATACGTGTATGGAAAAGGTTATATAGATCAGTGTTTCCCAAACCAGTCCTCAGGGCACACTGGACAGATCCACATTTTCGCTTTATCACAGTTTCCAGCACACCTGTAAGGTGTTTAAAGCTCCCAATTGCTTGGATCAAGTGTTCTGAGAACTGGGATTAAACAAAAATGTGGACCAGTCCAGTGTGCCCCAAGGACTGGTTTGGAAAACACCAACAACAAAAACAAAAACAAATCAAGTTAAAAGACAACACACTATATGGTATAACCAGCTTTATGAGAGGAGAAAATACAAATCATAAATTAGCCCACTTTGCATTCTATTCCATATAATTAACGCCACCAAAACACAGTAGTTTGTTGAAGTTTACAAATAAATGAACAGGATAGCCAGTTTTAAGAGATGAAAGAGATCAAGCATTTATATACAAACTTGAAGACCTTGCACCCACTGTTTTTCTGATATGTACATTGTTACAGTGAACGGTTAAAAGGGATCGCCAGTCCGCCTTCAGAGCGCAGAGTATGTCAGACAGTCCAGAGAAATGTGGGGACGAACTGCCAGGCCGTTACACAAAACCAGGAGACAGAAGAGCAATACAGCTGTTCCAGAATAAAACAAAATCTAACACCAGTGACCTGGAGGCAAAGACGACACACTCAGGTCTGTTTTTTTAAAAGTAATGAAGTGTCATATTCGCATAAGGTCAACAGAGTAACGGAAAAGCTAAGGGGCCGAGCCGTGCTTCAGCAGGCTGTACTGTTCATTAACAGCTTTGGAACAGCTGTACAGTGCATCCCTGCAAAATGTTTGCAATATGGGCCAATTACCTCTGCAATATATTCCATCCTCCTAAAGTTAATGTCAGTTAAAAATCCCAATCATACTGGTAACACGACCATAGAAATAAATAAAATAAGATTAACACAAAATTTAGTAAATCATTTTACACTTACAACCTTTTCTTTTTATATTTAAGGCTGCAAGAGAAGTATTACATGTATATATTAAATATACTTCATAGATAACCATGAAAGAAAAGCCTGTCACCGAAACAGTATCAGCCTGAGGATATTGTATAACATTTAACGTGCAACATTCGGTATCTCCCATGTGGTCATACATTATTTCTATATATTTTATATATATATGTATATATATATATATATATATATTTTTTTTTTTTTTACACGTGGCACTGCTGTGCGAGTGCTCACACCCGGTAATGAAATGACACATACATGACAAATAAACCGTGCAAATATTAATCTAATCGAAATGCAGGCAAGTCAGTGCTCATTCAGAATACTCCGAATACTCTGGGTTTTTTAACCCAGATACCAAAACATGAACTTTAGTTTACTACAGGACACAAACCTAAATGGACGGAGGACTCTGGCTACTAGTATGAGACAGTAATCGAGTGAAGGGCAGGCGGGGTTTCACCCAGCAGAGAGTGAGAGGAGAGCCCTCCGTGTGATGTAGTGCGGGTTCGAGAATAAAACATACCTCACAGAGGATGGGGAGGGAATGTGATTATGTGTGGGAAGATGGAGAGATGGAGAAAGACGGGAAAGAAGACAGACCGGATGGAGTCTCGCTCGGTGGAATTGGAAGAACAGTTCAGAGGTATCTAGCTCCCTGGCAGCCATCGCTCCTCCGCACGCAGGAGGAAGACGACACAGAACCACAGTGGGGAACCCGAAGGAGCAACTTCCATGTCTGCAGCAGACAGTGTAGGTACCAAGCCTCAGGTACGATTAAAACCCTCATTTACCCACAAGCCTGGGCCCTCCCATTAAAGCAGCTGTAAATTAGCATGGATCTCAAATAAATTATGATAAAATTAACTATAGCGCACGCAACAGAAAAAGTTAAACTGGTAGAAAGTGTTGCTTCAATCCAAGCATTTCTGCATTGATTAGGTATGCCAAATGTTGGCTGCAGCAATCAGTGACCGGACAAAGGAAACACTTAAATTAAAATTCAAAATAAAAACAAAAAAAGGGGCCAGAGTGGATAGAACTCCACTCGGGTTCTTCGTCTGGGGATCCATCCTTCGAGTTACTACAATGCCCCCTCCCTGTCAGTTTCAGTGGTGTCATCCGCGCCGGTGGGCGGGGCCGACCCATTGTTGTGGACGTCCAACCTGACGAGCCCCTCTTCCGCTTTGATCCATGAGGTCATGGACTCATGCACGGTGACAGTGTGCTCCTCCATCTGCTTCTGCAGACTGTCCATCTCCTGTCTGCAGGAAATCAAACATCGTAAGCAGACTTTAACCACTTGCATTGCACACATTCACAAATTTGTGTCTTAAATGCAACACCAAGACAAAAATGGATAGTATCCCTTTAGTCAGTAACTTCATTCTAATTTCTGTTGAATACATTCAGATCTTAAATACTTATCACAGAACAAAAAGAGTGGAAATGTTGTGATGGTTTTTAAAGTGTCCTCAACTCTGAAGTAAGATTTCAAATAAAAGAAAAAACAGGGGGGGGGGGGTTACCATGCACTGTCCAATCACTGCCCGATTTAACTGACTGACAGCTTGAAATTAGCCCCCTCCCAACACACACACAAACACACAGACCAGACCCTCTTACTTCAGCTGCCGTAGACAGTTGTGCAGGTTGTTCAGCGGCTCCTTGCTGATGGACGCGGGGGGCTTGAGCAGCTCATCCAGCAGGTCGGCAGGCACCGGGCAGTCAGGGATCTTCACCGGTGTCACTGGGCCGGAGGCGTCACCTTTCAGCTCCACCTTCTGCTGGTGAAGGGGGGAAGTGGAGTTACTCAAACTGTCGCTGTTCCTACAGAGCTGGTCCTGCTGGGCTTCTACAGGGAACACGGCCTCACGCCACGGCCGGGCTTCTACAGGGAACACGGCCTCACGCCACGGCCGGGCTTCTACAGGGAACACGGCCTCACGCCACGGCC